GGTGGCTGACTAAATACTTTTTTGCCCCACTGTATATATATATATATGTTTCTCCTTGAAAATAAGAGAGCAGATGTATGCCAAATCCTTTCCTGAAAAAAAAGGAATAAATAAAATATGCAAAATAACTCAGTAAAATAAAAAGAAATCAAAGTATAAAGCCCAGTTAGCCAAAGAGATTAAACCTGCACCTAGATTGGAGGGTTATTTCCATGTAGCATCTTTCCTCCTCTTGGTGACCTCTAGAAGTGTTGTGGCTGCAATTCCCAGAATTCTCAGCTGTGAGATCTCACAGTGTGATAACTATTCTAGAACATATGAGATTTTTCTATTAGTGCATTTAGTTGCAGTTTTACCAGAACTGGTCCAGGATGTATTTCTGGAACTATTCGTTTGTTCATCAAGAGTGCTATTAGGCACATGAGAAGTTGTTAGTGGCTTTCAAAATACTGAATTATTCTAGCCTCAAATCTCTGGTCTTTGTTGTTTGCTATTATTATTATGCTAATGTCTTTTGATTAAGAGTTATTCTAGAGTTTTCTTCTGCTTCACAAGGTTCAACTGTTTGAAGGATTGATCACTGCATGTTAGTGGCCTGAAGCCAAGATGATGTGTAATATATCATTTATTAGATGCAACTCTCATAAGGATTTATGACTTTCTTCAATTACTCATTTTATCTGAAATCTATGAATCTGTTTGCTCATGCTTTTGCTTTATACCTTTCCCATCAGGTGGCTGAGCTGCAAGAAGATGATGAGATGGTCACTGAAGTTTTCTCTGTCCCTCCCTTTACAAGGGCTTTAGCAGGTTTAAAGCACGCCACCAATTACAGTGTCCGAATCCAGTGCACTAATGAGATGGGCAGCTCTCCTTTTACAGATTGGGTCTATTTTCAGACCTTGGGATTAGGTAAGATTTAGAGGGCTAGGGTACATGGAACTCTTAAAAGATATTATTCCCTGTTGAATCAGAAAAAAAATTGGAAAATAGCAATTCTCCTGAATAATTGAACATTGAATATTGCATTTCTGATTAAACTAAAATTGCAAGGAGCATGAAAAAGTCTGGGCTGGTTCAAGCAGCTGGTCATCTGCCTTTGTGGTTGTTGCTTTCTACTGTATAGTTAGTTAGAAAATGTGAAGCCGTTACTAGTTCCTCCAGGTATCAGGGTAAAATTGATGTTTCACAGTTTTTAGAACTTGCTTCTGAAAAGATGGAAAATGTTTTAGAGGACTGTGTAGAACTTAACAGATTTAATAAATTATTATTATTATGGTTGGCTGCATAGTCAGCCAGATGTTTAGACTGGATTTGGCATTTTTATCCACTTATCGAGTCCTTCCCAAGGACCTGGGATAGGCA